CTTCTGTAAGTCAGATATATCTTTCTGAAATAGAATATTTTCACGTTCCCGTCTCCTCAAGTCAGCCTATCAATAAAATAAATGTATCAGAACGGCACAAATATGCATACTAAATAGCCACGATGATAATAGCAAGTACCTTTAGCTCCATGATGTACTTCTCCATATTTGATTGTTCAGATACAGAATCCTGAAGTTTTTGATTGACTAGTGAATAAGCTTCAACCAAACGCTCATGCTCGCCTGGAAACAGAAAACAGATTGCACCAAATGAAGTTTAACATGATGTCTCCAACAAGATAAAAATAAATAAATTTTCTGCGCAGATGAAAAAAATCGTTGGGAGCACAGAATTGAATCATACCTCTTTCCTCTTGGATAAACTCAGCTTTCTCTTCTAATTCGGATAAAACCTAAAACGCAGGATTCAAGGCCAACATGTTAAACGATCAAATTCAGACACAGCTCTGTCGAGAAGGAAACTTTTAATGTTTCCATCGGGTATTGACCCATCAAGCCCAAGAGTCTTTCACAAGTTTACAGGAAATGAAGTTGGAAAAAGTAGTAGCGAAATAATAACAAAGAGAGACAAAACAAGGGTACATAAGATTAACATCTTAACACACAGGGTCAAGTAGTTCATACCCGTTGTAGTATCAACTCAGCTTCCTTTCGACCTAATTGCTCATGTCTCATTGCATCAACAGCCTCTTGATACTTTTCATAAATTTTGGCCAACTACAGAAACGAAAAAATGTGATATATACACAGTTCATAGAATTAAAATGCTTATGAACTGGACAAATATAGTAAGAACAGAAACTCACACTCCACCCATCACGTAAGAGCGAAGCTGCCAGCGCCGTTCCAGACACACCGGTAGGAACCTTAGAAATTATTGCATGGCTTTCCTCTATCATGTTTCTGGTCCCTGAATCGTCTGCCCCTCTGGGGAAAAAGAGTTTCAAAAGAAACATCTTAAAATTTTATCGTTACATGAACACTAGGGTCTAGGGCAATCAAACACCATATTCACATACCACTATAACCAACTTACATGGATCAAACATTCTTATGAAAAGCACTTCACTGTAAACCCCAGTAAAGTCTTAAAACTACTATAAATTTTCTAGCGACAGCTAGAAATTAGAAACTTCCTTATGGCTTGGTACAAAAATCTACAGGTTGGTAGTATTAGAAGATCATAGGCGAGAACTATAGAATCCGTATTGAAAGTGCATCTCTTGAAGCAACTAATATCACTAATCACTACTTTTACTTGTTTTAGCTCTATTTCATAAGCAAATGTAGGAAAAATAGATGGCAGGAACACACCAAAAACTGTCATTTTAAACCTTTGCGTGAATTATACCTTGTGAAACTGCTGAGAGGTAAAAGCGTTAGCTCATTCGTTTTCCTAGTTTTCTCAATTTCTGCTTCAAGCTTCTCAAGTTTTTGTTTAAGGTCTTCGTTCTCCTGAAATTGAAATTAAAAAAAGTAGTTATCTTTCTAAAAAAAAAATTAAAATACACAAAAGAAGAGAACTTGTAGATCCAACGAGTATACCAACTATTGAAGAAATAACTTCTGAAAAAACATTATGAAATTATACTCCTATTATTTGACGACAGGGAAACTAAATTATATTAAAAAAATAATCGAATTACACTCCTATTATTTGACGACAGGGAAAACTAAATTATATTAGAAAAATAATCGAAGTATATTCAAGTTAACATATCTGATTATAAGGTTAATCAAAGCAATAACGTGACAGCAATTTTTCCTACAGGTAACACTCTCAGTATAAGGATGCCACCACATAAGAAGTTACCAGAGCCAGGTAAGAGATGTTATAAATAATCGAAAAAAGGGTCTCAGTACCTTCACTAACTGCTCTTTTGTAGACAAATCTTTCTCAAGTCTATCTTTGTACTCACTCTCGACTTGGATCAAGCGTACCTGATTAGACATAATTTGAACTCAGCTGGCAGGCATACAGACACAAAAAGATACATTCAATTCCCTCTAAATTGTTAGAGCAAACTAACCTCTAAGGCCTTAACGACACCCTCAAGTTCACCCGCCTTTCTGGACCATTCCTCCGAACTTTCCTTGTAGAGCTCAACAAGCTTGTTCGCCTAGGTCAACAGCCAAGTAATCGATTAGATTGAACTAAACAACAACTAGGGATATCTACGCTAAAAACATGAAATGCCTGAAAAACATCTATAAAGTTAACTCTCCGTCAAGGTCTGAAAACAAAATAATTCGAAAACTTACAGTGGAAAGTTCAGCATTGTATTGCTCTTCCGTGGTCGCTGCTGCATCTTTGCACGAGCTGAGCTCCTTTGAACACAAAAAAAAAAAAGTATGTGTCATAAAGCACCAAAATGATAAGGTAACAAGTGATATATCCCATGCTCATACCTCTTGTAATGAAGAAATCTTAGCTTCGAGCTCTCTCAATCTTTCCTTATGCCAATTCAACGAACTAGAACACTCATTATAAGTTTTCTCAACCTGATAAGAGATGACAATGAAACCAAAGTAAAGGAACAGAACTTAAAGAAAATCAAAGCAGAGCATTAGAAAATAAGCTCTTACATCCACAAGCTTCGCAGACATTTCAGCCTCAAGATCAGAATGCCTCCTACGAAGTTCAGCATAACTATCAACTTTGGCAGTTAACTCCTCATCAAGCCATTTAGTATGTCTTTCCATGAGCTCTTTCTCCTGAGACAAACGACTACACATAGCTTGAGCACGTGCCAACTCTGCCCCTGCTTCAGCATATTTAGATTCCTTCTCTGAACTGGCGTCAGTCAGCTTAACCTGATAATAAATACAATTAAAAATATTAATTAGGTTTGAAACTTCATGTCACAGATTATTAAGTAACAAACTCTCACTCACAATTTTATCCAAATAGCTCTTTATATTCGAATTCTTCTCGCTAATCTCAGCATCCTTCTGCTCTAACAACTCCATAAGCTGCCTCTTGGACTTGTGTAGCTCCGTCATCTCCGTCGTCATCCTCTCCAACTCTCCATCCTTCTCAATCTGCAATCAATCCGTTAAAATTTCGTTAAAATGCTCAAAAAAAAACCTAAGACGAAATCACACGAGGACGTACCGATTGCAAATGAAGCTGGTGCTTCTCGGCCTGAGACTGAGCGAGTTCAGCTAATCTACAATCGAGATCAGATTGAAGCTGCGCGTTCTGAGATTCGAGCGAGGAGAAATCGTGAGAGAGCGAGAGGTACTTCTGCTCGAGGAGCGAGCAGGTTTGCTCCGCCGTGATGGAAGCAGCGTCGGCCTTGGCGCGGACGCTGTCCAGCTCGGCGTAAAGCTTGCGAATGTACTCGTCGGCTCTCTCGGCGATAACTAGCGAGGCGGCGTCGCTGGAGAGCCGCGCGAGCTCGTCGTCGGGCATAAATAAGGGCATGGTTTCGTGCCCTAGTTTCTAGAAACAACCGTGGATATGTATATCTATATATATAGCTAATGTTGAAGACGACACTTCGAATACTTTTTTTTTTTTCTCCTTGGCGATTTTTAGAGAGAACTCAACGAAATCGATTCGGGAAAAGCTATGAACGATGTAAATGTTCGAGAAAACCTCAGGGGTGTGTTTATACGTCGGGTTAAACAAACGCTGTCGTTTCGTATTTTAGGCTTAATACTTGTCACTATTTGGGCCGAAATGATATTTAGGTCAACTGTTGGGCTTATAGGTATCTGTTTGATGTTTTTAACGTTGGTGTGTGAGACTCGCTTAGGGCATATACATCAAAGGATCAAGGGAGGATCAAGGGAGAGGATCACACGCATCCCAAAAAAAAAAAATAATAAAAAAATTGAACAGTGTTGAACCCGAGCCCCAACACCTCTTCCCCATGAACCCGGATCACAACTGTTCAGCGGGCCCCACGCCACGTGGCGGCCCGCTATTGGTCCGTTTAATTTTTTTTTTTTTTTTTTTAAAAAAAACAAACGAAAAATAAAAAAAAAAATAATAAAAAAATCAAGTTATGAACCCCATGTTGGGGTTCATTAATGCACATGCCCTTATACCATGCATGCGTCTTATAGTGAAGTAATCTTCGATTTCATGCATACCACATATTCTTTTCGCTTCAATAAGGTAGCTGTTTCATAATTATCACACATATTAAAAAACCTCTTAAATTTATTATAAATATATTATTTTTTGTGTTTAATTATTTTTCATAAGTGATAATCAATCAAAATTTAATAAAAATAATTAATTTTTTAAAAATCTACTATTTATCATTATTACTTGCATTGAAAATGTAAAAAAAAATTGATCTTTTTGAAAAAAAAATTATATAATATGGATCAATTTGAAACGGAGAAAATATAAAAAAATACAAAAGTCACAGTTTTACTTTTATCCAAGTAGCTCTTGATGGTACAATTATTTCCAATATTCCATGCATATTTTCACAAATTATTTGTACTTCGGGTCATAATTTGTTATGTTTTGATTTTAATTGGTCTTACCACTTGTTCTCAAATTTGAGTATTACATTTGTATTTTTTTCGTCAAGAGTGTTATTTTTTTGACTTGGCACTTCTTTTTCAAATAATAGTTGGCTTCAATACTATCAAAATCATTGAATGAATAATATTTGATTTCGACTAAAAATAAAGCCACTGACCCAAAATACGAAGTTCTTTTTTTCGACAAATACGAAGTTCTAAATTAAATTAAATCCACATAAAAAACCCACGAATAATTGAACGTGACTTTTAAATAATAAATCGATTATTCGCGCACATGTTTTCTGTTAAGTAAAGAACAACCAACTACAACGCGGCTACCAATATAATATTAACACTTTTGATTTAATCTTTTAATTTTGGATCTAATAACAACACCTAATAACGCAAAAAAATAGTATAATTAAAGAACCAAAATCATCATTAGTTCAATAATTAACAAGGTTATAAAAGCATGATGGGCAAACCATCTCTCAACATCATACAATAATTACCAAAGAAACAAGGAAGTTTAAAAACAACTCACTAGAATCAATGGTGAAGAGAGCTGTACTGATAGGTATCAATTACCCTGGAACCGAGGACGAGCTGCTAGGCTGCGTCAATGACGTCAAGCGGATGCATAAATCACTGGTCGAACTTTACGGATTCTTGGAGGAGAACATCGTTGAGCTGATTGATACAGACACATCTAAACCCCAACCTACGGGCAAGAACATCCGACAGGCGTTTTGGGATCTTGTTGAATCGGCAAAGTCAGGTGATGTTCTCTTTGTTCATTACAGTGGACATGGGACTAGGTTGCCACCGGAGACAGGAGAAGATGATGATACTGGCTTTGATGAGTGTATTGTTCCATCCGATAACAACTACGTCACCGGTAACTATTTTATATCCTTTTCTTCCTTTTGTGTTTATTTATCTTGTGAAAATTCAAAAACTATTTATTTTCCTTCATCTTCCTGACAATTCAATTTTGAAGTAAGTGACATAAACTTTACTAAATAAAAAGAAATTTAAAAACAAATGTTCAAAATGTTTTTTTCTTCATTAGTAAAAACAAAGCTTCCACCCAATCTATTATATTACTTAATGTACCGTTAGATCAATTGAAAACTAATATAGACAAAGCTTATAGGTCGAAAGAATTATATGGTGCTTGAGGTGAAATTAAAATTACATATTGTGGTTTCGAATATAAATAATTACAAGCTTCCGCTCAGAAAAAATATATTAATCATTCAATTTTAGATTAATTATTTTCATAGTTAGGAGTCATTTCATTTCTGTGTATTAACTATTTGTTGTGTGTGGGTTGGTTTATGTTATCAGATGATGATATCAAAGAAATTGTGAGTCATGTGCCCAAGGGATGTTCCTTTACATTCATCTCTGACTCTTGTCATAGTGGTGGTCTCATCGACTCAGCCAAGGAGCAAATAGGAGAGAGCTTCAAAAAGAAGCCCAATAGAAAATTTAAATGCCCTTTTGGATTTTTTAGTTCCAAAGGTACAACAAGTGAGGTGGAAACATCAATCAAGATTGAACAAGAAGGTGGTGAAAACAAATTCAATGGCAGAAACAGATTTCTACCACTGCAGACTTCAATCAATATGTTGAAGCAAGCGTCAGGAAGAGATGATATCAAAGAAGGGAACATCAGGACCACCCTTTTCGATTTGTTTGGAGAAGATGCATCCCCAAAGGTGAAGAAGTTCATGAAGGTGGTATTAAGCAATATGCAAGAGAGTGGTGGTGAGGGTTTGATGTTGGGGAGCCTTGGGAAACAAGCAATAACTTTTTTGAAGGATAAGTTAAATGATGAAGACTATTTGAAACCTGCGATGGATACACAAGTCAAGAGCAAGAAAGAGGTTTATGCCGGGGCTAACACTGGTGGATTTGGAAGCAATGGTATTTTGCTTAGTGGGTGTCAAACTAATCAAGTTTCTGCAGATGTAGGCTCTAAAGACAAGGCCTATGGGGCATTCACTGATTCGTTACTGATCATACTTGCTGAGACAAAAGGTAAGATCAGTTACAAGGATTTGGTTTTAAAGTCGAGGAAACATCTTGAAAAACAAGGATATCCTCAGCGACCAGGGTTGTATTGCAGCGATAGTTACGTGAATGCTCCATTCATATGTTGAGAAAAACTTTTCATCTTTGTAATTTTCCCTTAATATTTATGTGATTCATGTATTGTTTGTTATAAACTCGAGTTTAATACAAGTACAAGCAACTCTTAGGAGTAGTCTCATTTTTTCTCGTTATGCTGAATAATATAAAGTACCAGATTAACAGCTGGATTGTCAGTTTTGCCTACTTAAACAGCTAATTTGAAAACTCTAACGCCTCTGGTAATCAAACATGTTAATCTTGAAATTTAATTAGGATTCCTTCATTGTCCAGCCGTCTTAGCTCAGTGGTAGAGCGCGTGACTTTTAATCCCGTGGCCGTGGGTTCGATCCCCACAGACGGCGTCATTTTGATGACTGTTTTGTGAATGCTCCATTTATATGCCAACTATGGTGATGATTGAGTAGAGCTTCATTTTTTCATTCATGAGTCATGACTGTTCTGGTATCAATGTTTGTGAGTTTTTTCTTGCATGGTAAAATGGATGTAACTTTATGAGATAATAAATTTGGCACATGATAATGTAAAATATATATATTTCAGCTTTTTCTCCAAACTATGTTTCTTCTCAATGTCTACTGCCATCTTCTCTTTTTTGCTTCTTTACAATGCTATTTATTTCCCACTGGTCTCCTACATGGAACCAGACACAGAAGTTGTCTTATTCGATTTCAGTGTTATAAAAAACATAAGTATATATCTGGTTATTCGAATAGTAGTACTTATACTTTAATCACCAACATGATTCGTGGCTGTCATTTTGATGATAAATCTTAATTAATGGATTGAGTAAACTCTTGTACTAAATCATCATTCTATTTTTTGTTCGGTATAATGTGAACATCAACTTTCTATGTGCATCGATGATAATTTTATCTGCAAGTGGAGTTTAAATATTCTTAATAAAGATTTGATTGAACTGTCGTAATAATATGTAATTAGAATGGATCAGTAGAGAAATGATTTTATAGTTTAATATGTGCATTATACGAAAAAAATGAAATTTATTTGTTTTCTCATAGAAGAAAATGTTCAAGAGAAACAAAAAAAATTTAATAAGAAAATAGTAAAAAATTAAAATTTGTTTGTTTAGGATAGATTCCACCTTTAACTCGTTTGTGTGCAAAGACTATAAAGTTCCATTGACTTCTGATACAAGGAATCAAAGACCTAGAGACTTACTCCCATTGGTCATTGGCCTGTGACAGAAGGAATAAACCATAATAATTGGCTTAACAAAACCGACGTGCTATAACGTGAGGTTGCTTGCGCTAACACGAAAGGGATTCAACTAAAACTAATAACAGTTGTCCAATTCTTATGCAATTAGAAAACAATTAGTTAGAAATCTTAGAGAGAATTATACAAAATATAATACATTTAGACTGGTTCTTGTAACCTATCTAAGTCTTGTACGTTTTAGTTATTAACTCAACTTGACAGGAAAAAAAAATCAGAACTCTAATCTTTCGTACACACATCATAGTAGAAAACAATGCTATGTTTGTGTCAAAATAATGTGAGCTTATAGTTTATTATTATTTTCTTAAAGTCGTACAAAAATGTGACATAGACAAAGTCCTGGAAAAGAGCCACTAGGTTCCATTAGTTTAATAATAATACGATGATTATATAAATCATCAAAGATGAATCATTACAGGATCATAAAAATTGTGAAAGTTAGTTTGAAAATATCATCATATCATCAAATGGCTAAGAGAGCAGTACTGATAGGGATCAACTACGTAGGCACGAAGGCTGAGCTACGAGGCTGTGTCAATGATGTCCGTCGTATGCATGTAAGCCTCGTTGAACGTTATGGATTCTCCGACAAGAACATCAAACTGTTAATCGATACTGATAGCACTACCATCAAACCGACCGGCAAGAACATCCGACAAGCGTTGTTGGATCTGGTTCAACCAGCTAAACCGGGAGATGTTCTCTTCGTTCATTACAGTGGACACGGTACGAGGTTGCCTGCTGAAACTGGAGAAGACGATGATACTGGTTATGATGAGTGTATTGTTCCTTCGGATATGAATCTTATCACCGGTAAGTGAAAAATATAAAAGGCTTACATGTTAGGTAATTTTGGAGAGTATAAACGTACGATTTAGTAAATATTTTTATTAAAAAATATTACATTTTGGGAATAATTTTTTAAAACATTTTGTAGACTTATATTCATATGAATTACTCGAAAAAATTTCGAGTATCCAAAAGTTAATTTTTAAAACATTACATTTTGGGAATTATTTTTAAAACATTTTGGGAATAATTTTTATATTCATATTAATTACTCGTAAATGTTTTTATTTTTAAAAAATTACATTTTGGGAATAATTTTTAAAACATTTTGTAGACTTATATTCATAGGAATTACTCGAAAAAGTTTTGAGGATCGAAAAGTTAATGTTTCACTTTGCTATGCCAATGACCGGTTTATGTGTCCATATATTTATAACCACTAGACTATATGTAATTTTGTAGGGTTATTATCTTACCATTTTGAATTAAGTTCATATGAAGAAAAATTGTGTATAATAAGATAGTAATGAAGATATTTGGATATCTTTATGATGAAATCTAATTATTATTGTGTGGGGACTTTGTTTACAGATGATGATATTAGGGATCTTGTGGATATGGCACCAAAGGACTGTCCCATTACAATAGTTTCAGACTCTTGTCACAGTGGTGGTCTCATTGATGAAGCCAAAGAGCAGATTGGTGAGAGCACAAAGAAGAAGAAGAAAGACTCTGGAGAATCTTCAAGAATCAACAAGGAGACAGAAGTAGAAGAGACACATACCAAGGAGATTACTGATTTGGGGAGCAGATCTCTGCCATTAGAGACTTTAATCGATATGTTGAAGCAAGAAACAGGCAAAGATGATATCGAAGTAGGGAAAATCAGAACAACTCTTTTCGATATGTTTGGTGAAGATTCAAGCCCAAAGGTGAAGAAATTCATGAATGTGATTCTAAACAATCTACAAGAGACTACTACTACTGGTCAAACCAGTCAAGGTGAGATATTGGAATCACTTGGAAACCTAACTCAAGAGTTTCTTGAGCAGAAGATAAATGATGTTGTGATACCTGCGATCCAAGAGGTTTATGCTGGTGCAATCAATGGTGCACTTCCTGATAATGGTATACTAATCAGTGGTTGCCAAACTGATCAAACTTCTGCTGATGCAAGCCCACCGGGTCATCCAGAACAGGCTTATGGAGCACTAACCAATGCTATACAGATCATACTTAAGGAGACTAATGGTAAGATTAGTAACAAAGATCTTGTTTTGAAGGTGAGGAAACTTCTTAGGAAACAAGGGTTTGAACAACGACCTGGACTGTATTGCAGCGATGATTGTGTGAATGATCAGTTTATATGCTGAAAGAAGTTGTTGTTTGTTGGTTTGGTTTTCGTGTGGTATACGTTTTCTGATTTGTGTGGCGCCATTGTAACTTTGAATTTGAATAATGTGTAACTGTTGTTTCTGTTCATTGACATTTATAAGAACTTTTTTTTTTAAGTCGGGTTATTCTAGATTTTCCTTAGTTTTGTATAAGCCTAACTTGTGCCACAAGAGACCTTCTTTTTGATTAGGAAACCATTAGTTTTGACAAATAAAAAGCAAGCAGTTGAAACATGCGATGATAATAAGGTGGTATAATAATTGAACTATGATATAAGATTGTTTGGGTTTACAAGAGATGTGTACACAAGAACAAGAATCATTTCCTTACAATCTATACAAGGTTTGTACGTTTTAGCTTTTGTTTTGGAAGAAAGAACAAGCCATTGATGTACTTCTTCTCTAAACTGATTAACCAAATACAAGTATAACCTCTTTAAATTAATAATCTATAAATTAATATCTCTATAAATTAATATAATTTCATAGTCTCAATTGAATTATTGGTTCAATTAATATCTCGATAAATTAATAATCTCTATAAATTAATAAAAACTTTAGTTTTGGTGTACTCCCAATATTATTATTTATAGAGGTTTCACTGTATTGGTAGCGTTGGGGATATTTTTAAATAATTAAAATATAGTTTCTCTTAATAATTTATGTAATTAATTACATTAAGATTACAAAACAGAATATATATGGAATGGATATCTTTCATTTAATGGTAATAAACATTAGTATCTTTGACCAGAAAGAAATCAACAAACATTGTATAAAAGCGTGAAGAAGGATAAGGTGTAACGTCTCACAATCATAATCAAACAAAAGAAAAATTGTAAAGCGGATATTTTGAGGTAACAACAATGACGAAGAAAGCTGTATTAATCGGAATCAACTACCCTGGAACCAAGGCCGAGCTACGAGGCTGTGTCAACGATGTTCAAAGGATGCAGAAAAGCCTAGTCGATAGGCTTGGTTTCTTAGAGAGAAACATCAATGTTCTGATCGATACTGACGATTCTTACACCAAACCTACCGGTAAAAACATCAGACGGGCGTTGTTGAATCTAGTTGAGTCAGCTAAATCTGGAGACGTTCTCGTTGTTCATTACAGTGGACATGGGACGAGGTTGCCGGCAGAGACTGGAGAAGATGATGATACTGGTTACGATGAGTGTATTGTTCCATGCGATATGAATCTTATCACTGGTACGTAAAATATATTAGGTTGAAACTGACTTTTACTTTGTCAAATTTTGGTGAGAAGTTGAAACTTTGTACTTATCAGTTTGATCGAGATTATATGTTATTGAGAATAGTTGAGATCAAATGAATAGAATTTGTTAGGGTTAAAACTTCAATCTCATGTTGGAATCTGGATGAATAGAAGCATGCATGGCTTGATGTTTTTTTGTGGTCAAAGTCAAATGAAATTTCTCATCAATTCACTACAAGAAAACATCCTTCCCTCCGATGAGATTTACCGATAAATTCTTTTATCGGAAAGGTTATGGCAGATTTGTGATAACTTAGCGATGACATGTGAATGTTGTCGGAATCGTCTCAGAAGTTTCCAATGAATCAAATTTCTCGGTGGTTTATCGAAATATATTGTGGGCATATTGTCGGTAATATAAAAACTTTCCGAGGAGCAAGGTTTGTCGGGAAGTTCTCAGAATTGTTCTCGGTGATTTATCGGTACAATCAAGCTTCCGACAATTGATTCTCTTCTTGGTACAGCCTCGGAAAAGTGATAATTCTTTTGTCGGAGCAACTTTGGTTTTCTCTCGGAAATTACCAACAACCGATTATTCTTGGAACGAGATTGAAAGATTTGACGGAAAATCGTGAGAGATTGTAGCGTACATGTGACGCCATTTGAAGGAAAACCGACCATGGTTTTTGTCGGAAATTTTCTGTATATAAACGTTATTCTGTGAATCTGAACAGAACAAAACAGAGAGCATTCATATGAGTTTTTTCAGAATGTTGATTTTACAACTGAGGGTAGATGAAGTTAAAGACAATGAATCTTTGCAGTACAATGGCTTTACGGTGAGGCATACATCTGAAAGTGAGGATGCACATCTGGAAATTCTTCTCGTCAATGAAGAAGATACTAATCCCAGACGTTAAGAAGATAACGACAAGAAGATATTTTTTTTGTTGTTTTTGATTTGCTTTGATTATTTATTTTTAGTGTACCATTACGTTTATATTTTCACTGTATTTTTCTTTTTTGCTTGTTGTATCATTTGTATTATCTTTAAAATCAAGTGCTCTCTTTTTATTCAATTTAATAACTTCTTTATCTCTAATTTTAATAATATCGAACAATGTCCCAGAAGTTTTATGTGGTTTCACCGGAAAAGACTGTTACACCGATTTCTCATCGGTAAAAACAATGAAACTTCTCATTGGGAAAGCCTCGGTATTTACCGATCAATTTGCGACAAACGACGAACTTCCGAGCATAGTCCGACGAGTTTGTGACTTCACTTCTCATCGAAATGTTCTCGGTAATTTCCGAGAAATGTTTCCGACAAGATTTCCGATGACATATATTGTCGGTAATTTCCGACACCGTTCTGATATTGAGCTATTTCCGACCGTCAAACGCCGACAAATTTCGTTTTCTGGGAACATCATCGGTATGAGCTTGTTCCGACAATTTTCCTGCAGATATGGCCGTCGGAATGCGCTACACTTTCTTGTAGTGATTGTTCATTCGTTTCAAGAAAATTTATAGTGATTATTATTTTTTTAATTACAATATATATACTCCTTCAGTTTCAATTTAATTGTGGTTTTAGGTTTTTATACATAAAATTAAGAAAATATTAAAGTTTACATATTTTCTAGACAAAAACACAATTAACTATACATCTAACCACATTTCAACTAATAAAAAATAAAATCAAGAAATTTTGCATTGAAACTATATAATGACATTTATTTTGAAACGTAAAATTTTCTCTACAACCACATATAAATTAAAAACGGAGGGAGTAGTTTTTTCATATAGATTTAGATTCAATTTTTCCGATCTAAATATATTTATTTCTTTTGATATAAAAATAAATTTGGATCAGTTTTTAGATTTGTGAACGAGAATCATGATAATCTTCTAAATATTCTTGTTCTGGTGATTATATTCTCAGATGATGAATTCAGGGAATTTGTGAAGAAGGTTCCAAAAGACGCACACATCACAATCATCTCAGACTCTTGTCACAGTGGTGGTCTCATAGATGAAGCTAAGGAGCAGATAGGAGAGAGCACAAAGAAGAAGAATAAGCCAAAGAAGTATAAAGGCTCTTCAGGACATGGAAGCAAAGGCTTTGTGCTTGAGGCTGTGGAAGAAGCATTTGAATCTCGAGACATCAACGTTGATGAAGAAGAAGAAACCAAGAATATTGAGCTAGAAAATGGGGACAAAGTCCATGTCGGAAACAAATCTCTACCTCTACAAACCTTAATAGACATCCTCAAGCTAGACACGGGCAATGATGATATCGCACTTGGTAAAATCAGACCAACACTTTTCAACGTGTTTGGAGAAGATGCATCTTCAAAAGTGAAGAAGTTCATGAAAGTGCTTCTAACAAAGCTGCAAGAAGGTGAAAATGATCAAGGTGGTCTGATGGGAATGATTGGGAAACTAACACAAGAGTTTATTGAACATAAACTCAATGATGATGAAGAGAGAAAGCAAGAGGTCTATGCAGGTGAAAGCAATTGTTCTATTGCGTGTAACGGTATTTTGATTAGTGGTTGCCAAACTGATCAAACTTCAGCAGACGCAAGTCCTGTAGGTCAACCTGAAATGGCTTATGGAGCATTCACTAATGCTGTGCAGATCATACTTGAGGAGAGTAATGGTAAGGTTACATACAAAGAACTTGTTATGAAAGCAAGAAAGCTTCTTAAGAAACAGGGCTTTACGCAACGACCGGGCCTGTATTGTAGTGATGGTTACGTGAATGCTCCGTTTATTTGTTGATTATTGTAATATTCTCAAAAAGTATTTTTAGTTCCGTGTTTAATAAGTTATGTAATTTGTTTGTTGTTTTGTTGTTTGTAACTTTTAATTGGATTGTTAAGTGTTCTTTGTCACTTTCTCTTAGTTATATAACTTTTTAAATTCAGAATGTATGTTAGACACCTATTTACTTGTTTGTTGTTCATTGGCTACGCATTTATCATAGCTTTTAGTTGTTGACTTATTGACCTATTATACTTCTGGTTTTGTTATCAACCTTCGCTTTATAATCCACCTAATACGCAATTATTACCGATTTTTTACAGTCGATTTGTAATATTGTAAAGCAAATTGATCCCATTCTTTCAACGAGATCAATTTAATGTCATTTTTACAGTCGATTTGTGACAGAGATATCTAAAAAATACATCTAGAATCATTTATATTATGTAATAGATGTGTATAAAACACTACTTAATTGGTTACATTCCAGGAATTAAGTTTCACGAAAAAGTGACTTTCGGGTATAGAAAAGATAACGCTGATAGAGCAATTTGCGTTAATCGTGCAATAACGTGACAAAATAAAAACGAAAAAGAAATCAATGCCACGTCAGATAGTACATTCTTAATCATGGAAACGCGGATAAATCAACCAATCAACGAATAAAGAAATCGTATTTTAACCAAAAACAAAATAATTTTTTTTATATATATTAAATCACTTTTGTCGGGAGACAGTCTTTCATCATCCATCTCTACGATCACAAAGACAGAGACTTTATCGATTCAGATTCAAACTTTTATCTCTCATCAAATGACGAAGAAGGCGGTGCTTATCGGTATCAACTACCCTGGAACCAAGGCTGAATTACGCGGATGCGTCAACGACGTTCATCGTATGTACAAATGTCTCGTTGAACGTTACGGATTCTCGGAAGAAAACATCACCGTGCTGATCGACACCGATGATTCCTATACCAAACCTACGGGTAAGAACATCCGCAAGGCGCTTGCGGATCTTGTCGGATCGGCTGATTCTGGAGATGTTCTCGTTGTTCATTACAGTGGACATGGTACGAGGTTGCCTGCGGAGACAGGGGAAGATGATGATACTGGTTATGATGAATGTATTGTTCCTTGTGACATGAATCTCATTACTGGTGAGTTAGTTCTCTTTTTGTAATTGATGATCTGTTTTAGATTATAGTATTTGATGTTCTTTTTCTCGGATCTGGTCGGATTATGATAAAGAAATGAATTTTGGTGATAAAAAAAAAAAATTAATCTTTGATTGTGTTTTTAATCAAGAAATCGCGAAGTAGTAATTAAATATTTTATATGAAATTATTGAAGTGCCATTTTTTAAAAATATTGTTTTGTTTATGTCCGATTTGCCGCCTAGACCGATTTTTTAGAACACTGGTATTTAGAAGATTGGTCCCTCATGGCTTAAGAATGGTCATGTAGAGGAGCTTTGTGTGATGATTCTTGGTATTGTTGTTTTGCAGATGATGACTTCAGAGATCTTGTGGACCGTGTTCCACAAGGTTGTAGGATGACAATCATCTCAGACTCTTGTCACAGTGGTGGCTTGATCGATGAAGCCAAGGAGCAGATTGGTGAGAGCACTAAGAAAGAGGATGAGGAGGAGGAAGACGAAGAGTCTTCTTCGAGGTTCGGTTTCAGGAAGTTTTTGCGTAGCAAGGTGGAAAGCGCGATTAGGGGGAACAAGGATGAAGATGAGGCGCGTGAGATCGAGACCAAGGAGATAGAGCTAGAAGACGGAGAAAGAATCCTTGCCAAAGACAAGTCTCTGCCTATACAGACTTTGGTAGATATCCTCAAGCAGCAAACAGGGAATGATGATATCGAAGTTGGGAAAATCAGGCCGAGTCTTTTCGATGCGTTTGGTGATGACTCAAGCCCCAAAGTGAAGAAGTTCATGAAAGTGATATTAGGTAAGCTTAAGGCTGGAGAGGGAGAAGGTGGGCTAATGGGAATGCTTGGGAAGCTAGCTTCAGGGTTTCTTGAAGGGAAACTTAACGATGATGACTATACGAAGCCTGCTATGCAGACAGAAGTTGGGAGGAAAGAAGAGGTGTATGCAGGTGGGTCAAGAGGTTCGGTTCCGCTTCCAGACAGTGGGATATTGATTAGTGGTTGTCAGACTGATCAGACCTCTGCTGATGCGACTCCACCGGGGAGACCAAGTGAAGCTTATGGAGCGATGAGTAACTCGATACAGAAGATATTGGAGGAGACAGACGGTGAGATATCGAACAGAGAGATGGTGACAAGGGCTAGGAAGGCGTTGAAGAAGCAAGGTTTTACTCAGCAGCCAGGTTTGTATTGCCATGATGGTTATGCGAATGCTCCTTTTATCTGTTAAAATTGATGTTTTTTATTTATAACGACCGTTGGTGATTCTGGTCGGGAAAAATAAGCCTCTGTTTGATGGCGTTTGTGTAACTTATAAAGTTGTGTGTTTTTGTGTTTTGTGAAACAGTGATTTTATCTTGTTTTTTTTTATTTGAGCACCATGTTTTGTTTTGATATTTTTTAAAAGTTCTAAGCTTTGTTTATTTTGGACATACTTATATGATTCTGCCAAGGAAACGTTTAAGCCAAAACGTTAGATAATAATAGCATTAATACATCTCTTGCCAAATTGCCATGTGATATACACAAAAATGGAAGTCATAGTGTTTTTCTCCTTTGAAAATAAAATAAATAAAAATACGAATAGGTATGGGAGGGAACTTGGCTTGAGAGGGTTGGTGTCTGTTTTCTTCTTACAATAAGACAACTTTTTAATTTTGGTCTCAATCATCAATCTCTTGAACCCATGCTAAATCTGCAAGACAACAAAAGTGACACAAATCATTCCCTGAAAGTAAGGGTTGTCGGAACTAAACCAAAACGACTAGGATGTCAAGATGAAACTACATGTAAATGATACCTTGTAACACAGTTTCTACAGCTGCATTAGGGATAGAGAGTCCCACTATTCGCTGATTATCCGTCGTCGTCTCTATGCGTATCACTCGAATTCTCTTGTGGCTTTGACGGGCCTGCAAACAAATCGAAGCACTGTAAGGTTTCATCGCCAACACTAAAGAGTTGAGTGTTTGAGTGCAAAGGATGTTTACTTGTTTGGAAAGAGCTTTCTCAATGGTTCCCCAGATGGGAAGAATGAGTCCGCCCACAACGTTTACTTCCTGTATTCTTCTTCCAACTGTGCAATACTCTCCCAGCTTACACTTACGTCCATGCATACACTGTACTCATACACATCTCTTATTATAATAATTGCACAACTCTATATCAATCAATGGTTATGAGCCATGGGGATTAAACTTAAAACTCTACCGGGTTGATTCTGTGCTAATCTATTTTCTGTCTCGAGGAAAAGCGGTTCTATATCGATTCATTATTGATTGAGGAAGCATACCTGTTTAGATGAAACTTCGTACTCGTCTTCCCAACCAGTACGAGCCTTCTCCAGAGATGAGAGTTTTCGGTATTTGGTTTTCAACTCTGAAAGAGACATCTCTCTGGAAAACATAACAAGAGTTTATACCAGTTTCTTAGTTAGAGATATTAAATGTGAAGGTACTGGCATAGATACCTGATCGACTCTCCTACCGCAGGACGGACAGTCTTAAACAACCCAGAGGCCGTACTGGAAATCCAAGAAAAACCGAGCAATGGGATTAATTAATATTTGTTTAAGGACCTCTCATTTGACGCAAAAAATTTATACAAAGTTTTCACCTCTCAAATGCTAATATGAAGTGTCGTCTTCCTAACCATTCCCTCTTAGATTCATAAAAGCCATCACTAGCCGAGCCAAGCCCATCCCTTCTCTTCCCCTCTAGCATTGAACTTGCAGACTGGGAGGAACACAGATCAACTCAAGCTTTTGATTCATTGTAGTTAAATTGGAGTTATTTACACAGAGCGATATATATTGAACTACCTCCCATGTAATACCACGATCTAGAGTGAAAGTAAAGAGCATAGTAGAGGCACCAGACATTTGATCCACATGGACGGTCTGAAAAATTAAAATATTAGTAGGCACAAAGACGCCAAAGCACCAAAATCAAGCACGAGATATCTACCTTTGGAGTGGTCAGCAGCTCAACGCTATTAGCTTTCATATCCACGATTCCCGAATCAAAAGTTCCTTCAATCCGAGCGTTATGTACAAGCACATCTAATATACTCGTAAACAATTCAAACAGCCTGCACAGCACAGGAGATTAAAGCATTAAAGCAATTGAAACAACTTCTAACACTAAAAAGCGTGAATTTCAGTTTCACGTATGATACCTGTTCTGAATATCAGGTGGCAATCCCAAGAGGCGATTTAGAAATCGTCCAACATCATGCATGTCAGAATCAATAATACGTCCTGATAACTTTCCACTGTCTTTCCCATTAGCTGTATTATCATTCATGAAGAAAGGTAAAAAGGAGGTTACTACAAATAGAATTTAAGTCCAGTACGAAAAAATGAAAAGAAGCAAAACTTACCCAAAACACTGTCCCTAACAATTCCTACTGCAATAAGCGCAGCCCTAGCCTTGGTTAAAAACTCTTTAATTGTTTCTGGATCATCAGTCGAGCACCCAGGTGGAACAACGGGTAATTTCTCCTGAAAAGTAAGCCATACAATAATTTACACTCTATCCATTATCATCGGTCCTAGAAACTGAAGAAGCAACAGGGGTTTTATGAGGAAGACCTGCTCCATTATCCCTCTATACATCACCACCAAGGATTTTTTACCAAAGTTACTATCATAATTGTAGGCACTCAAAGAAGGCCCGGCCCTGCAATAACACACTATATTTTGAGATAATAGACTTTGGCAAGGTTTTAAGTAATAACAAGCCACAGGACAAACAACTAGGAAATGGTTTAGAGAGGTGCATCACTTTCCTGCGATCTCCCTGTGTCAAAGCACCAAGAGTTTCTAGTCTCTTAGCAACAATAGAGGCAAAGCGGCGTTCCCCACCAAGATTTGTGAAAAGTAGCCTGACAGGGCCAAAACATAGAACGCATCAACTTCAGCAATTGATACCAGCTGAAAAGGTAGCAAGTGCTTTCGCAATTGGACAGGTACAAAATCAACTACTTAAACGTTGTCATGCCAACCTGTATTCAGGTGCAGATGTCTGATTTGACCGGTGAGTTCTTCCAAATTGCTGAATCGCACGATCAGCACTCCAAGGAAGCTCCAACGTCAAATGAACCCTTCTTCTCTGCAGACAAATATAATATATTTCCAAATTAACTAATACCCCAAAAGCCAACATGTGTGTCCTTCGAGGCCAGTTCATAACGTCACTGGATCTTAAGAGCGTTAGGGATGTTCAAAGAGACAACCATAAAAAAATAGTAGCTATAAACTCAACACACCTGATTTGCTGCCCTTCTATCTGCTTGCAACGAAACACCAGCTGAACCAGCTTCAGAAATAATGGCAACAAACTTTTTACCATCCATAAATAGTTGTTTCTCGTGCATGTTGACCATTTCCATTGTTATATCCTTTCTAAAGCCAATAAGTAGAAGGATGAAAAGTAAATTACTGGTGGGTTATAACATAATATACTAAGAATTAACAGGAGGCACTAAAGAGAAAATAGAAAGTGTCAGAGATATTTAAAACTTACGTGTTTCTTGCTTGATATGTAACACCTTTCCCATTAGACGCTCTTACAAGCATTCCTCGCCTGCCTGTTATTTCTGCGACTTTGTCAGGGCCTCCAAGCTGCAGTCGAAAAGCACTAGCAATTTAGGGACATTCTTAAGTTTCCAGAAGTTAAATTTAATCACACAGCTAAGGCTTTGATACTACAAATTCTACAATCAACGCACCCTAAGTGCTATAACTTGGATAAAGGATTCATCTATACCACGCAACACCATACACATAAAGCATTATTCCCTAAATTAAGGAGATTCACCTATTACCACGAGCTGCGTTCATACCTAAAAAAAATCAGAGACGTTTAGATGATAGTTACCTGATCGACGATATCATCTAAGGGATTGTTAGGAAGACTTAGAGACCGGATAATCTCTAAAATTTTCAATTTTCGTTCCAAGGCTGCTTCATACCTAACAAAATGGATAACCACTCTTAGAAAAAACAAATATATACTTTGCTTCAATTATACGAGCAGGAAATTACAAGACACATGTTGCTATTCACTATTACAGACCTTTTCTGCAATTCCGCAATGTAGACACGCCTTGCTTGAATGAACTCCTCTGTCTTTTGCTTGCAAGAATAGCATACCCATGCTTCAGATGGTAAGTCTGTAACTGGAGGAACTACACAATCTGGATGAAAAAGCTTGTCACATTCAGAACAATGGAGCAACTTTTTCCTTTCCTAGTTTCATCACAAGACAAATTATTAAAAACGAGTAAGCACAACGGAAATCAAGATATTTAAGTTAAAAGTAAAGTACATCTTCCCCACTGCATATCTGACATATCTGGAACTCATCATCAGAATCATTAGAATCATCAGCAGATTCAGCTGCATTGAAAACACCACTGATTAGGAGAATGTACAAACCTCGAGTATAAGGTCTAGATTAATAACAGACCAAGAGGAGGCATATAAAAAAGTAGGGACATCCCTTTAGCAGTTTCCTATGTTGAAGATCTATAATATACATTGCTACATTGATTCCAAGGTTTAATAGATACGTTTTGCAGTGCGTAGAGAAGCATATCAACTCTTCCCCTCTTATAATTTTGTCCTTAGTCCCTACAGTCTAAGCATTACGATTGTGTCTATTCATTTTGAAACACACCTTCAGACTCCAAATAACTTTCATCATCACTATCTGGTTTCCATTTTGCCATCTTTCTTACTCTTCCCCTAACTGAAACACCAGGTGAAGCTGAATGCCTCTTCCTATGAAGTTCTTTAACACTATCATCCTCTGCAAATGTCAAAAATAGGAGAACTATAAAGGCGAAATAAACACCAAGATGGATTGAAAGCAAAAATTTTGACAGAGCATTAAGTTACCTGAGAGAGGTTCAGGCTGCTCGGGCAGGGGATAATTCTCTTCCACGAATTTCAGCAGGAGCTCTCGAGGTCCCGAGACAAAATCATCAAGCTCAACACCCTATTGCAAGATATAGGGGGACAACAAATCAATCACGTAGAAACTAGGTAGATGGAATCATAAAAGGATACTTAATCCAAAAGCAGTATAAGGAGAAACGTACATATTTAGTTACAGCCTCTTCAGTTCGAGCCTCTCCGGTACTCTGAAGGCCAATAACGACACACTTATTTGCTGATAAGGCTTTCTTAGCTAACCTTACAGTTACAGGAACTTTAGCTGACATACACAAGTGTCTAAAGAAACGCTGTAACATAGAGGAAATAGATCGATCAACCTCTGGGTTTAAGATGACAATCATCAACTGTTATAACACTGTCTATCTGCTATTTCCGGAAGTTTTAACCTGATGGCTCGACCAGTATAGTCTCCACAACTGACTAGAATTCGGTTTCTCGCTAGGGAGAAAAGCACTTGCTGACAACATCTCTATCCGTAGCTCTGCCCAAAATTCTGCAGACTTATTGTACATTGCCTACAGAAGAAAGCAAGTAATTCAACACAAGCAGCGTATTTTTTTTAATTTATTGACAAGGATCTCTGAAAATAGAAACAGGAGACCATAGAAACAATGAACTTGCTTGCCAAAAGTATTACCATTCAGATTTTAATTTAAGACTACAAGAATGTAAATATCATAAACACAATAAGGCCTGCCTAATTTTTGTAAGAGCTTGGTTTCAAGCTTCAGCAGAGACGGCTTTGTTGAGCTTACATGCCATTACTTCAGGAAAGAACTAGAAGTCAATAGAGATATGTGCAGCTCAAGCAAAATAATAAGATTTACCTCCATTCCTGCTTCTAAAGGAGCTTCAACAATCTCAAACTCAGCCCCTTTGTAGCTCAGGGTACGGCATACATACATCCCCCTATTAAGAAGAAAGTATGTTAGAATGAACATGAGCAAAAGCGAATGGCTCAAAAGTATGACAAAGGCTTCTTAAACCTCGCTTTCATGTCCATGGCAACCAATTCCAAAGCTCCGACTCCACCTTTATCAAGTGCACCTGCAGAAATATTTTATGGAATCATTTTTATTTGTATATGCTCTAGACAGAACTTAAATCTGAAAATAAATGAATTCGTCTTTATCCAGTTTAATAAGGCTTTTCGTCTACAAGGCAAATAGGATAGAGAATATAAATGGAAATGCTACCGAAATAAAGTCAAAAATGAAAAGAATAGAAAAAAACCTAGAAATTTGTTAAAATCACTGAAACTTGTGCCAGCTCCCCAAAGACCAAGCCTGACCATATAGCCCATGTTTCGTGGCTCAGATGCACCGGTAGCAGAGCAATAAAGAACACGTGCTTGGGGGATCTTATCCTGCTTTTCCGAAATTCATAACCTTTGGTCAACTAGGGGACATTAACAACCATTAAGCGTTCCAAACTAGAACATTAACAATATTATATGTAAATGAGAAGAACTAATCCAAAACTAAACCAAAGGTGAGTATATATCACTCTTCATATTCAGGCATTCAGTTTCCAGTAACAGACCTGAATGTCAACAACTGCCTGTCCGATGCGTGTAGGCTGACTCCCAGCTTCAGGTACCAAATTTTTAGCTTTGTGGCACTACAACAAATGAAAACTTAAGTAGATGAAGCTGCATAACGTACTAATAATTAGAGCACTTCTTAAAAATGATAAAACCACTGATCAAGCAGTTTCGCACGACAGGGCATGCTTAAAACTATTCAATTCACCAAAACGAGCAGAAAAAACATTTTTAGCACTAATGAATTAAATATACACCATTCGTGGACTTTCTACCTCATCAAAGATCAAGAGCCCATCAAAATCTGGTCCACACCACTGAACAAGTTGCTGCAAACGAGAACGCCCCTTCTCAGAGGAAGCAATGAGACTATTGTATGTCAAGAATACCACTCCTTCTTTAACACCAACATTCTTTGAATCAAGCTTAGAATAGGGCAGCTTGTTCAAAGGATTCACTGCACGTAAAACACATATCTTTACTTAGCAGCAGACCAAAAACACAATTGGTAATTAGACTGGACATTCTGGCTTGACTGAAAATTTCCAGGCTAAATATTATAAAGTTTAACGAGACTGAGAATCACAAATCCAAAGGGCAACAGTCCAACTTTAGGTTATCTGAAATCATTATGAACTGCACAAATATCAGCTATCCATCCATAACAATCTCTAGGTATGAAGAAACCATAGACGAAGCTCAAAAACCCATTACCTTTATCCAGCAAAGAGAATAAGTTCTTTAATATCCCCAAACTAATTCATAGTGGGTTTAAGCATTCAGCTAAAACAAAAATAATTCTGATCCAGATTACTCTATATCATACACTATAAAAACGCCAAATGCCAGGAAATGTATCTAACATAAGCTATAGCATACGAGCATTTTGGACCCAACAAAATAAAAAAAAATTACAAAACTCAAACTGACAGCCAAGTCAAGCTAGTACCTCCGACGCATGTGGCACCCACATCATCCAAGTCCCTTCTTGCATCGTACTTCAAGTCTGAGCCAACAGAAATCCACCTACGTAAATCACAGAGAAAATGGAGCAAATATAATTAGAACTCATCTCATCCGATCAAAAGGACAATGTAGGCACGATTATGCATATATAGTATACTCATAAGCCAGACTGAATTGAGTTATCAACATCTAATCCAGGAGGTAATTGGCGCAACAAAATCCTCCTACAAGACTTACAAAGCTTTTCTCCTTCCATGTTTCCAATTCTCCCAAATCAACCCAGCAATTGTCCGCCCTTTCCCCACACCAGCACCATCTCCAACAAAAAACCCCGCTCTGGTACCATCAGCAAGGTGCTGAAGATGCCTCTATAATAAAAAACACAAACAATGTCAGACAAGGACGAGACCATTAACCAAACTTTCTTCCATTTGATAAGCAACCTGACAAGCGTAAACCAATGTCTCAATCTGCAAGCACGACAAAGCCTTTGAATCTTCGAGCTCTTCCTTGATTCTGAGATCATAAGTGGGCTCTGGAGGCTGCACTGCAGACAGAGATGATGTTTCCACAATCGGATCAGGATGTGGAGGTCCAATTGAAAGTTTAGGCGGACGCTGCAAGAAAAGAAAAACCATTAAAACAGATAACCAAAAAAAAGAAACTGTAAAGATGTGGCACTCACATAATCCATAAACGTCTCTCCAGCAGTTCCACCTTCATCTTCCTCTCTCTCCACTTCAATAGCTTCCTACAATACAATACAATACAATACAGTGAAGCTAGTTCAGAAACATACAATACAACCAACAACACATGGAGGAGAGATATCATAATTCAAACAGCGATCAGTATTGAGATGAAACTGAAGGGTAAAATAGGGATAAAACCTCGTTGACTTCTTCGGGAGGAGGCGGAGGAGGAAGAGGTCCAGCAGATTGAGGAGCAGTTAGAGATCGATTAAGCTTAGAGACATCAACCGCAAGCTCCACGTGGCACTGAGGACACGAGAACCTCGTGAGCCCATGCGGAACATTGAGAATCGCCTGGCAGTTAGCGCAAGGCAATTGCATCTTCGTCGGATCGATCCCGTGCGCCGGAACCGGAGGCCTCGGCTGCTGCTGCTGCGGCTGCAAATTCATAGGTTTCAGCTGCGGCGGAAGCGTCTGGGGAGGAGGAAGCGACTGAATCGGCTGCGGCGGAGGTTGCGATTGTTGAGTCCGTGCCCTAGAAAGAAGCTCCGGCGGCAACATTTGGGGGAGTTGACAAGTGGGACACGAGAACTCCACCACGCCGGTTTTCACCCTCAGAATCACGCGGCATCCCGCGCATCGGACCTGGACATCGCCTCTCGAAACACCTCCGCCGGTGGGGTGCGGCGGAGCGGGGAGAGGGGGAGGAGGTTGAACCGGCGGTTGCGTCATTGATTTGGTTTTTCTAGGGATCCGAGAGGATCCTATGAGAGAGAGAGGGGGGGGAGAAGAGTATGTATGAGTGTAAGTAATGAATATTTTTTTTCGTCAGAGCGCGAAAGGTTCTTCTTCTTCGTCTCCTTCCCCTTCTTCTCTTTTTTTTTTGGTTTCAGATTTTTTTTTCCCCTTTTTCTCTCTTTGGTTTATCTCGAATTATCACGAAGTGCTGTAACAAGAAAGAAAACCACCTCCTGTACCGGTGAAGGTTCGATGGAGCACGTGTTGTCACGTGACCGTGCCAGCTTCATAGTTTCGTTGGTTTTGGGCCTTTTTTAATCACGTAAACTTGATATTTAAGCGTTTTGTTATGTATAACTTTGTGTTTTTTGGGCTTAGTGAGATATGAAGCAAGTGGATGATTGTTTGAAACTTATATTACATGAACAATAACCACATCAATACTATTGAAATTTTGCAACTTTAATTAACAAAAAATTGGTTGTAAAAGTTATATTTAACATAGCTGCATTTATGTTGTTAAGAAATAGTTGTGTGAATTTATACAGAGCTGCATCATATATGATTTTGTATCTCAAATATTATTTGCAACTGGAATTCACGAACTGCATTGAGTACTTCTGCAAAGAACTTTCTCTTAGCGGTTTCAATCAGATTCTTCTCCTCTTCTTCCAAACGTGACAACCTGTGAACAAAAGATTTTTAACACATCAGCAAGAAGTTTCAAAACAAAACAATATGGCATGTCATATGCACTAGACACAAACTTATCATTATTTCAATTCTATATAAGGCATCTCTAAAGACACAACATACACAAGTAATACGATGTAAGATATAAGAGTTAAAAACAAGTAAACGTGACATACTGACGAAAGCTTTTTGAACACATCAGCAAGGCAAAGCAAGAAGTTTCAAAACAAAAACATAAAACAATTTGGCATGTCATATGCACTAGACATACAATTTTATCACTATTTCAATTCTATATAAGACACCTCTAAAGACACAGCATAAACAAGTAATACAATGTAAGATATATTTGAGTCCATAGCTAGTTAAGAGAGTAAATGACCTCAAGCATCACTTTTGTTTCTGAACTGATCATCAGCTTCCATAGCAAAAAGGATCTCCAACATCATAAGTTCTGCAGCACCATTAGTCCTGCAGCATAAAGCATCAGAGAGTATTTGTATTAATTAGCAGATTCAATAACCAGTCATGACTTCTGAAGAAGATTGCTAAGAACTTGGCCTGTTAATTGTTGTGCAAGAACATAATATATCACACACATAACTAACTCAGAAACTCATCCCCCAAAACATATAGATTCAACTTCTCTTATTTTTGTTCTTTAGGTCGAAGTATCATAAACTACGAAATTAGTTTACAGAAGAAACATGATTATAGGTTATCTTAGGCACTGTTTACTCTGGTCTTTGAATCTTATAAAGTACAGCTAAATGACAAAGGATCCCAAAAGAGTAAAGGCTAACTGTTATTTTACATAATTAATATATGGTATCATGTCTTTTCTATCCACACGGCAAGAATCTTGAGCAGTCAAATTATTCTAGAGAAGCATCTAAACAAATAATCAAAGAACCGAAACTTACAGCTCTCGCAGGCATGGCACTCCACCGAAAAAACGAAAGAAAAGTTCCACTGAAACGGTTGTCTTCCAAGTGCCTACAGGGAAATGCGATGAGATTAGCTTATGAGTCTCTGCTCTGATTCCAATAATGCAAATCAATCTTTGACATCAAATAAGTTTACCTTAAGGTGGTCAGAAGCGATAAGGAAGGCACTGATTCCCAATGGCTGTAAACTCTCTTTTGGGGACAGTTTTCACAGAGAGAAACCCATCAGTTTTGGGGATATTATTTGCAACTGGAATTCACGAACTGCATTGAGTACTTCTGCAAAGAACTTCCTCTTAGCGGTTTCAATCAATCAGATTCTTCTCCTCTTCTTCCAAACGTGACAACCTGTGAACAAAAGATTTTTAACACATCAGCAATGGAAAGCAAGAAGTTTCAAAACAAAACATAATACAGTTTGGCATGTCATATGCACTAGACACAAATTATTATTTCAATTCTATATAAAGCATCTCTAAAGACACAACATAAACAAGTAAACGTGACAACCTGACAAAAGCTTTTTGAACACATCAGCAATGCAAAGCAAGACGTTTCAAAAACATAAAACAATTGGCATGTCATATGCACTAACACACAATTTTATCATTATTTCAATTCTATATAACCCATCTCTAAAGACACGGCATAAACAAGTACTACAATGTAAGATTTATATGAGTTAATAGTTCAAAATGGCCTTATAATAAGAAAATCTATGAACGGAATAGCTAGTTAAGAGAGTAAATGACCTCAAGGCATCACGCTTCTTTCTGAACTAATCAGCTTCCATAGCAAAAAGGATCTCCAACACCATAAGTCCTGCAGCATAAGCATCAGAGAATATTTGTATTAAATAGCAGATCCAATAACCAGTCATGGCTTCTAAAGAAGATTGCTAGGAACTTGGCCTGTTAGGTTATTGTTTTGCAAGAACCTAATATATCACACACATAACTAACTCAAAAACTTATCCCCCGGAACATATAGGTTAAACTTCTCTTATTTTTGTTCTTTAGGTCGAAGTATCATAACTACCGATTTAGTTTACAGAAGAAATATGATTATAGGGCATATTAGGCACTGTTTACTATATAGTCTTTGAATCTTATAAAGTACAGCTAAATGACAAAGATCCCAAGAGAGTAAGGGCTAACTATTATTCTACATAATCACTATATGGTATCATGTCTTTTCCATCCACAGGGCAAGAATCTTGAGCAATCAAATTATTCTAGAGAAGCATCTAAACAAATAATCAAAGAACCATATATAGGTAACTGAAACTTACAGCTCTCCCAGGCGTGGCACTCCACCGATAAAACGAAAGAAAAGTTCCACTGAAACGGTTGTCTTCCAAGTGCCTACAGGGAAATGCGATGAGATTAGCTTATGAGTCTCTGCTCTGATTCCAATAATGCAAATCAATCTTTGATATCAAATAAGTTTACCTTAAGGTGGTCAGAAGCGATAAGGAAGGCACTGATTCCCAATGGCTGTAAACTCTCTTTTGGGGACAGTTTTGATGTTGACACTGAGGTAGATAGTTTCCAGCACCGAATCATACAAGCAAACAAGAAAAACTTTATTAGCAAACACGAAAACAAAGCACATAAACAAGGAAACACGACAGCAAGATTTAAAATCTTTGAGGAGGAAATTTTTCAAGTTTGCTAAATTGATTAGGAGAGACTTTAGTGATCATGTCGTGTAGAGAGACAAATGAAACATAACGATCTCTAACGATCAAAAGACGCACGTTATATTAGCTTAAAACACATTATGAATACACACATTCATTTCTATTGTCAACCAGCTCTATAAAAAAACTTCCCCCAAAAAACACTTTTAACCTTTAAAAAAACATTTTAAAAAAAATCAGACTAATTAGTAAAGGATTTTTTACCTTAGCTATGACGGAATCTGGACTCTGGAGACGGTGGTGTTCCCACTAATGCCACTCTCTAGCAGAGATTCTCACACTCTTCTTCTTTGTCTTGTTGGTTTTTGCTTGTGTCTTGTAATGAGAGAGCGAGCTTCTTTCTTACAGATTCTTACACTTCTTTTTTGGTTTTGTTTTTGTCTTGTAAGATTTTGAGATACAGGCTTCTTCCTTATATAGAAGAGGATGAGCCAACGGTCATATTTTTGGATGTTCAATTTGTGGCCCGTTGGATGATTAGGTTGTAGATCTAACGGTGGAATGGATGTAGCCGTTGGATGATTAAGTTAAAGGAATCATGGTTAGGTTGAAGAAGAAGAAGAAGAACCTTGGTTAAGAGATGTAGCCGTTGCCTGATTTGACATGACTGATGCGGAGGCTGACAAATAGGGGGCTGAGTAGAGTAGGCGGAGACCTTGGGCTCTGCACCACACACATCGAACAACTACTCTTTCTTCTTTTCGTGTGGGCGAAAATTAAGTAAGAACATAAATGATATGGGACCCTCTCCCATTCCTAACGTTGCTGGTGTATTTCATTCTGATGCTTAATACTTTTGGCCCATTATTGAATTTATATGGACGAAAACCAAATTTGTCTAGGCCCATATTTGAGTCTAACATGTGTCTGAATTTTGTTCTGTAACCTTTCCGTATATTTGATTAATAGGTGTTTTTAATTGTTACTAGATCCTTTCTCGAGCTACACCCGGGTTATTTAATAGGAAAAAGACTAAGTTATTGTCTCAATAGATCTTTGTTAGAAAGAGTTATCGAAGAAAATATTTGGAGAGGCGAGATTCTAATAATGTTAACAAGTGTTAGAAAACTTACTAATATATTGAACGAATAAAAAACTACTAACTTAACATGATATTTAAAAATCAAAATTTTTACAAAATATTCTATATAAATTTTCAAATAAAAACAAATACATAAGCAAATAACAACTTTTTACTTAATATAATACAATTAGAATAAAATCATATTAATGTGGTTTTTGATTACCTGAAGAACACAATGGTAATAGAAGCAAGAACCAGATGTAAATCACCAACTTCATCCTTGTGAGTGTGATAATTAATCACTTTTGTGATGTAATGAAATTGGGGCAAACTTTGTTTGATAACCGATGAATTAAATTGGACGTAAAATAAGAAAATCTGTGTGGACATTACTTATTTATTGGTGAATTTTGAGAAATTTTTGGATCTTTGAGAAGGAGAACACGTCCAATGTATAATCCCTTAATCATCATTTGATTTGAAAATCAATCAAAATTCAATTTTGAGATTTTTCACCATTTATATATGTAAACATAAATACAATTTAAATCAATTAAACAATCAAATTAAATATTTAGCTAAGTTGTTATATGAAAGAATTGACATATATTTATTACAAAATATAATT